TGCTGTCTCCCGTCTCTGGATCCTCGCTTTACATCGCATACCAGATAAGGGTAAGTCCCGATAATTATGTTTAATTATATACTAATTCGCTTCTTTTCTTTCAGGTTTCTGCCCTGGATGGATCGCTGCTGTTGCTGCTGTGCTTCCCCGGATCCTCGCTTTACATCGCATACCGGATTGCCGCTGGCCAACGTTGGATCATCGTCGAAGGACAAGGTAAGTAGAAGGTAAGTATTGATAATTTTTTATAATTAATCAAGAGAATTTGTTTCAGAATTAATTATTCTTTAATTCCAGATCATCATTTCAACACTAGAGGCCGTTTCACAATGTTATAAAGGTGTCTCACATCACGAGTTTCGCGCCTTGGTGTGGATGTCGCTTTATTTAATAAAAGTCGCACAATTGTTTAATTTGCGTATCTCGGCTTATTAGTTTCGTCGATACGATGCTTTTATTCCGATCAGAGGACTCTGTGCTCCGTGATTGTTGTACTATGATCACGCACTCGGCCGTGATCATCACTCTATCATACAATGCTCGTGCGCAGAATTAACGAACGAGTATCCGGTTGGTAAATACACTGATTAATAATGTCCGCACAATATTCCGTATCCGCGTGACCCAATGCCGCGTGACCCAATGCCCGTGGTTGTTATATACTCGATATGCACTTCCGTTAATTAACAATGTATCCGAATTTCAACTCGCGTATTGTTGCTAACACTCGATTGTATTTGGCAACTAAGTGCCCCTCGCTATTGTTAAGACGAGTAATTTAACGTGATAGTACGCGGGAGTTCTCGGTTGTAAAGTATAACGCGTATGCCGATCGTACAGAGTGTGATATGTGTGTTCGCCACGGCTATACCCGAGAGACTGCCTCGAGCCGTCGCTCTCGCTGGGCCTCCTCACTTAAGCCGGATTGCTCCCACTTTCGGAACTTTCTCTTTCGCCTATTGTTCGCGGCCGGCACATCTGGCGCGATCATGCGAAAACAAGATGATTCTCACTATCCTCTCGCGTGCCTTTTTGCGCATCTTCGATTTACGCACGTTCTGGAAGGTTCTCGTGGAAATTTCCACGCGCAACGCAGTGCGAGAACCTTCCTGCCTTGGCACCGCTGCACCAGGTTTTTACTCCCGAAAATTTCTTGACGCGGATGACGCCGACCCTTGCGCACCTCCTCGGAGATGCCCCTGATGGTGATTTCGGGTGTTTTTCCTGTGGATGACGTCCGGGTGACGTCTGTGTCGTCGGCCGTTGACGCCGACTCCCTGGCTGGGTTTCTCGGTAGCTGGTATTACCTCTCCGGGCCTTTGTTCCTGAAGATGGCGCGTTTCCCGGGGATCTTGTCGGAAAACGACGTCGACTCCTTAGACGGGTATCCCAGGATCTGTTGTGACGGATTCCGTCTTTTGTTCCCGGAGAAGATGCGTTTCCCGGGGAACTTGTCTGACCTTGACGCCGACCCCCTGGGAGGGTGTCCCAGGGCCTGGAGAGACGGTTGTATGGCTTGATTCCTGGCGAAAACGTGTTTCCCGGGGATTTTACCGGACATTGGCGCCGCGACCCCTTGGGGAGGTTCCTCCGGTCCTTGCGAGACGATCGGACCCCTTTCTCCCTGGAGAAGATGCGTTTCCCTGGGATTTCACCGGGTCATGACGCGAACCCCCTGGGGCGGTGTCCCAGGTTCTCGTGAGACGCTCCAACACTTTTGTTCCCGGGGAAGTTGGTTTTCCCGGGAATTTCGTATGAGGGTGACGTCGACCCCCTGTGGGGATATCCCAGGTATCTCACCCAATTCGTCGGGCGTCCTTGTTCCCGAAGCCAGTGCCCTTTTCGGGAACCTTACTCCGTCGGTAAATCTGACATCGCGCATTCGTGCGCCAGGTACGCGGGGTGATCCTCTGGCCCATTGCTTCTGTAGGTTACTATGGTTCAGGTGTTTCACGTTACCGATCGTCGCCTTCGTCTTCTCAGTTGGTCTCTTTTCCATCGAGCATGCTCATCGGATCGTTTCCGAACTCGCCACTGAAGCGCGCTGTCGCAAGGTTAGGTTAGTTGGTTGGATGTTGAGTCTGGCTGGGGTCTTCGTGGAGCACGGACATGCCTCGCGAGCGCTCCGTGTTATATATATATGTGCTACCTATAATTAAATTTTTTTTGTGTAAGCTCGATCCGTGGTGATACGTGCTAAAAATCCATACCGTGCCATGTATAATTTTCTGTTTTTCACATTAATTATGGAAATATCCATACTTTCATTTTCTACATGGGCGTGCCAGCGTACGTTGTGCCGCGTGGCATGCACCTTGGCACTCGATATTGTAAAATATTATCAATCCGCGCCGTATCACCGCGGATTGTTAATTGGGGGGCTTTCTCTTTTTATTGTGCATCACGCCATGCAAATATTATTTTATATTTTGCAAGAATTTTATCAAATTCGATAATTTATATCACTCGTGCCACACCCGCACGAGACATGATGGCCGTTATATTCGCACATTGAGAGGAGACTCATATATGGACTATATTCTCATACCAAGGCTCTTTTTGGAATATACTTTGAGAAGGATGATTTAATTCTAATATAATAAATAATTTTGCTGCAGAATGTGACATATTGCCTAATGTAAGGTGAGTTATTGCAACGTGACTTGTGATGGTTGTGCGATTATAATGATATCACTTTATAATGTCTCTTTCGAGACCTTTACGTCTACCATTAGAGTCTTATTTTTCTATTTTCTACTCACATAACTGAGTTTTTACTTAGTTGGAAATACATAAATTCATTCCTTTGAAACATAATTTATACTGTGTTGAGCCTAAATAATATACTGATCCTTTTGATCTCCGATGATGGTATATGACTTGTTAATGAATCTAATAATTTGTCCTTTGCTTTTTATGTTCGTCCTTTGTGCATATGCGGGGAGGTCCCATATACGTGCTCAGCGTTGTTTAAATCTTAATAAATGAATGATATTTGAGAAAATAGATAACATTATATGAACGCGCTGAGACACGCACTTGAGTTAATGATCTTTCTTCCCAGGAGATGGAACGAGGAGACGAGTTAATAAGTAAATAAATAAAATATATAAAATTTTCTCTAGTTTATTGATTAAATGAATATACATATATATGTTGTTTGGACCTCTTTGTCTTGATATTAATATATACACTTATTTGCTACTTTATACACCTTTTCTTAATCCTAATCCTATAACACGGTAAGTGTTGCGTAAACTACTAATTATACACTTATTCTTAACCTGTCATTACGATAGATTATGTCTTTCTCATGCGCGCGTGCGATCGCTTAATTTGCGTTCATGGGTTGTATGATGAGAAACTCATCCGTACAAATCTAGGGATTTGGCCTAGATTTTGGCCTAGATTTTGACCTTATGGCCAATCCACATGTAGGAGGGTATTATGCGTGGAGACTTTTGTAAATCTTGAATGTTTTCTTTATGAGTTACGAATATTCCTGCTGTCCTGCATATACACGCATAATATCACCTTTTCTGTCGGAATTTATTTATAATCAACTAAATAAACCTTTCGTTTTTCTGTTTTTGTAATATAACTTGATACCGATATATCTACTTGTAAATTGACTGGCACTCTATAGACAAAATAAAATAAACAAACAAACAAATACAAACAAATAAACAAATAAAAGAAATAAACAAACAAAATACAAAATACAAAACACATAACATAGATATCAATATTACTACCAGGCAATTAGTTGTTTAGTT